ATTAAAATAAATAGACATCTGCCTTATAAGATGCAATCACAATCACAATCACACAATCACAAATAAATAGAGGGCTGACTGCCATCAGTTGGCTAAATGCATCCGCGTTTACGAACATCACAGGCAGAGGATTGAGTGTACTGTCACAACCAGAATGGCGTCCCCCAATTCCAAATTTATAATGAACACCGAACACTGGCGCACTGCTACCCTGTCAGTGACTGCTAAAATGCTCGGTTTGACGCTCACTCGTGCCAACACGTCACCTCAATCAACATGGGTCCGGATGGTAGGTCTGTTAAAAAGACAAAGGCGGATGCTATACTGCGCTGTTGCATTTTGCTTTTCCGTATTTGACAGTTCATTTAGGGACAAGCATTCCCTTTGTATTTGTATCATTGCTCCGTTTGCATAGGTACAGTCCACCTACCCAAACACCAATTCACGCGTCGGTAAGCCTAACTATAGCGCGCTTAAAACATGTCTTTTTTTCGCAGCGGTTAAGTGCATGAACAGCAATTTATCCTGTACTGGCTGACGAGATCTAAAATAAGTATACAGATTTCTTTTACTGATGCACCAGGAGTCAGCTCTGCTCTACTTCTTCACCAACATAACGGCTTCAAATTACAAAAGATGCGTGTTTTTGTGCAACACTTTGCTGGCTAGTAATACCTAAGGAAACTTGACAAAAGAGCCTTCGTCAGAGTTCTTCTGTAACAGAAGCCTTGTAAATTTAAAGATAAACACAGACGGTAAAAAATAACTAAGAGTCTATCAGTTGAAGTCCGTGAGCAGTAGCTTGGTTAACTTTGAAGAAAAATTGCAAAATAAATATGACAAGATTTGCATGGCCCATTTATAGGCGCGTTTTAAGCATAAGACTTAAAAGTGAGGTGCCGCATAATGAGCAAAATAAGAATGAAATGTTGTTGGCAAGATTCTCGAGCATTAATTATTAAAAAGCTAATTCACAAAACTAACCCAAAGTCAGGAGACAATTGGAGGGACGTCAATGAGACTTGCTCAGTCAAGCCAATATCAACCAAGCAAAAGCCATATTCGAGTGCAGCTTGCAAGCCTGACATATTTCTTTAAATCGACTTAACTTAGCCGAAAACCATCGAAAACTAATTGCTATCCTACCTTCTGGTCTATAGTTATTCACATTGACGGCTTTGAAGGGCCGGAATATATTTGGACTGTGTAAGTTTGATTTCAAATAATTTGGTTTTGCCATAATGCACTTTAGAGGATAGCGTTTCACTCTTCAACAATCTGCCGACTGTATTGGCAAAGTGGGATTTACGCCTGATCCGATATGCTCTCACTTCCTTTGCGTTTACCTTAATATACTCTGTTCGTCCAGTTTAGGTTGAAAATACCAATCACGTGAAATTTGCACAAGAACGGATTTTCTCTTCTTTTTGTTTAAGTTACGGGACAAAACTCCACTCATATATGCATTGTTAAAGCAGTGTGTGTCCATGGTACCAAGTTCGTTTGCAACCGAATTCTGAATGCTGTATTAGGAATGCTGCTCTGACCTACGTATTAACGAGTGAATTGGCTAACGTGCTGGGTGAAAGGTGAGCCACTACCCTCGTCAACATATTCCACTTATATTATCTGCAGAATTTTCCATACAGCTACGGTCGGCGATTGGCAGACAGGAAAGCAAGGAGCAACGAATATGAAGTGTCACTTACACGTCACAGTACAAAAAACTAAAGCAGAAATCAGTAAA